AGGGATTATAGGCATGAACTGCTAAAGCACAGCCCCCAGCTGCGTTTTAAACAAGAGAACGAATCTGTTTTTTTTGTCAGTTTTTGGCCAGGGCTGGGTTTGAACCCACCATCTCTGGCATATGGGGCCGGTGCCTTACCCCTTTGAGCCACAGGCACCGCCCCTGTTTTTTTTTTTAAGAGACAGAGTCTCACTTTTTCACCCTCGATAGAGTACCGTGGTGTCACCACTCACAGCAACCTCCAACTCCTAGGCTTAGGCGATTCTCTTGCCTCAGCCTCCAGAGTAGCTGGGACTACTGGTGCCCGCCACAACGCCCAGGCATTGCAGTTTTTTTATTGCAGTTTGGCCAGGGCCAGGGTCGAATCCACCACCCTCAGTATTTGGGGCTTGCGCCCTACCCACTGAGCCACAGGTGCCACCCATCTTCAAGCACTTTATATATGTATGTCAGGCACCCTATACCTTCCTCCAGTCATAACCACAGCCAGTGCTGCATTTATTCTCAGCATATCTCATGGGGCTTTAGTTGGGAGTATCTAAAACTCTTGAGCTACCTTGGTATTTAGTGCCACTGCATGCGCTTTTTAAATTTAACCCTCAAAAGGTAAGTTTAGTGTCCTTAAGATGAGGCACTATGGGCAGCGCCCATAGCTCAGTGGGTAGGGCATCAGCCATATACACTGAGGCTAGCAGGTTCAAACCCAGCTCTGGCTAGCTAAAACAACAGTGACAAATGCAACCAAAAAAATAGCCGGGCATTGTGGCAGGTACCTGTAGTCCCAGCTACTTGGGAGGCTGAGGCAAGAGAACTGCTTAAGCCCAAGAGTTTGAGGTTGCTGTGAGCTGTGATGCTACAGCACTCTACTATGGGTGATGTAGTGAGACTCTGTCTCAAAAAAAAAAAAGATGAGGTACTATAATAAACACTTTATCCCTATGAACTGACTACAGATGGCCCGAAGGCAGGAAGACCAAATAAAGGAGATGCCAGGTAAAATGTGAATGACTCAACAAAATCAGTCACTTCCCTGTACGGGAGCTGGCAAACCTACTGTCAGCTCTGAGGACACTAAGAGCTTCCGTGCTCTGCTTTTAAAATCCTATCCTAGTCCCAGCTACTTGGGAGGTTGAGGCAGAAGAATCGCCTAAGCCCAGGAGTTGGAGGTTGCTGTTAGCTGTGACTCCACTGCACTCTACTGAGGGCAAAAAAGTGAGACTCTGTCTCTACACACACACACACAAAATCCTATCCTGGTTCCTGTAGACACAAGTGCCAGGAAGTGGACTGTAAAGCATCCCCACCCCCAGGAATCTTCCCTGGTAGAGCTTCCTTACCTGACTAGGGGTGAGACCAGCAATTTCAGGGGTCCCTGTCCCTGGAGCATAGGCAGGATCCAAGGCGTCAATGTCAAAGCTGATATAAATGGGTTTGCCTCCCATCTGCTGCCTCACTTCCCCCATCAGAGGCACCAGGGACTTCATCCAGCAGTCTTCAGCCAGGACCACCCGGAAGCCCTAGAGAGGTAGGGATGGAAGAGCAGGAGGTCCAGGCTTCTACTAGGCAGCACAGACCTGGAACTTTCTGTGTGCCACTCCCATCCTCAGCTGCTCACATGCAGTTCACATTTGACCCTCCGTTTCCATGAGGAGATTACTGTCCCTGTTCTACAGGTGAGGGAGAGAGGGACAATGCCTGGTAATGAAGCAGGGTCAAAGTGGACCTTGGGACCGGATGCAGGGGCTCAAGCCTGTAATCCTAGCACTCTGGGAGGTCAAGCCAGGTGGAATGCTTGAGCTCAATTCAAAACCAGTTTGAGGCAAGGCAAGACCTCATCTCTACTAAAAACAGAAAAACTGGCTCAGCACCCCTAGCACCATGGTTATAGCACCAGCCACATACATCAAGGCTGGCAGGTTCGAACTCGGCCTGGGCCAGCTAAACAAGAATGACAAACAACTGCAACAAAAAATAGCCAGGTATTGTGGCAGGCGCCTGAAGTCCCAGCTACTTGGGAATCGCTTAAGCCCAAGAATTTGAGGTTGCTATGACGTCACGGCACTCTACCCAGGGTGACAGCTTGAGACTCTGCCTCAGAAAAAATAAATAAATAAATAACAGAAAAACTAGTAATGCATGCCAGTAGCCCCCGCTATTTGGGAGGCTGAGAAGTTGATAAGTAAAGACCCTGTGGGATCCACGGCTACCAGCAGGCAGTCAATGGGCAGCAAGGCACTTGGGGGGGGGGGCATTAAGTCTGTCACCTGGCTCCAGTGACAGACTGGCTCCTGTCCCCACTCTCTGAAGTTGATAAGTAAAGACCCTGTGGGATCCATGGCTACCAGCAGGCAGTCAATGGGCAGCAAGGCACTTGGGGTGAGGGGGGCATTAAGTCTGTCACCTGGCTCCGGTGACAGACTGGCTCCTGTCCCCACTCTCTGAAGTTGATAAGTAAAGACCCTGTGGGATCCACGGCTACCAGCAGGCAGTCAATGGGCAGCAAGGCACTTGGGGTGGGGGGGGCATTAAGTCTGTCACCTGGCTCCGGTTGTATCTGTAAGGATCCAAGGTCATGGAAGAGCCCCGGATGCCGATCTGCACCACCCGCTTACAATCCAGGAGTCCCTCCTCCACGCACCGGCGGAAGGGCGTCCCGTGGTAGAGCTTCTCTCCCAGGCCCTTGTCAGCGGTGTCTGTGTGGGCATCCACATGCAGCAGCCCCACAGGGCCATGCCTGGTGACAGCAGAGCAGCTCAGAGGCTAGACCTCCCTGCGGGACCCTCAACAGCCACTCTTCAAGCCACCAAAACTTGATGACAACTCAGCCACAGAGGGGCAGTGGACATCCATTTGCTGCCTTGTACCAGGCATCTGTCTTCAACTCACTCAGCATCTCTGAGGAACAATAACCTCAGAGGGTGGCGCCTGTGGCTCAAGGAGTAGGGCGCCAGCCCCATATGCTGGAGGTGAAGGGTTCAAACCCAGCCCCGGCCAAAAACCGCAAAAAAAAAAAAAAAAAAAAACAATAACCTCAGAGAAGTCAGGCAGAAAACAGACGTGTGCTGTGGCTGCCTCCCACTAGCTATCAACCAGAATCTGCTTCCCTCAGAGACAGAGTGGGCAGCGGGGTGAGTATGAAGGGTGGTGGCTCAGAGGTAAACTCAGTTAAAGCCTGAGCTCATCAGCCACCCTTTCTCCAACTGTGGCACCAAGAAGAAGCTTCGACCCAGCTCTGCCTCCATAATCTCCATCCATCCCTGCTACCCACCCAAAATAAACACATGATCCAAATCAGTGGGAGGCAAGTGCAGCTTCCAGAAAAGACCTGTACCCGCCCACCTCCAACCAGAATGCTACCCACATGATGCTGCCACATACAAATCCTGGAGCTACCACCCTCCGCCTCGGCCCTTCTGTCTCTTTCTCAAATTAAATTGCCCCAAATTAGCCAGTCCCCAGTAGACTCCACTTCTGGAAAATCAGTCTTCTCATTGTCTGGGAAAAGGGCCCTTTCAGGAGAAAACAGAGCCTCACAGCTCCCCTGTTGTGCCTATCAGTATTCGTATTTGGTGGCCGCAACAAAACAGAAACTAAAGTTCACTGGGGTTGTGTATTTCACCAGGGGCTCATCTTCCAAAAACAGAGTCGGGCTGTAAATGCTGAGCACGCATATCAGAACAGATCTGCAGCAAGGGAGGGCAGCTAGAAATGTTAATAATAAATTGTCTTGGCTTCCAACTGGTGACTGACAGAGACACCTGGAGCTCAACCTTAATTTTGATCCCCAGAAGCAACCCAGTTGGGAATTTCCTATCACTCCCAACAACCTGAGCCAGCAGCGGTCACCAGGTCACCCGATGCCACCTAGCAGCACAACTCATTCCCCAGCTCCTGCAGTTTGAAACCTCACTCCAGCAAAGCCATTTGGGACGTACTTTTTTGCAATTGCTTGTAATATGGGATATGTGATTGTGTGATCTCCACCTGCAAAGAGAAAAAGAAAACATCTAGAATGTGGCTACAATTATTACATAGGACAACTTGAATTTACCCAATTCTGCCACCCTTTTAGATTGACGAAGTGTAACCACAACTAAAATAAGATCCTGTTCAGTGGTAGGAAGTTTAAAATTTCACTGTCATTTAAAAGCAGAAATTGAGGGCGGCGCCTGTGGCTCAAAAGGGTAGGGCACCGGCCCCATATGCAGAAGGTGGCAGGTTCAAACCCAGCCCCGGCTCAAAAATAAATAAATTAAATAAAATAAAAAATAAATAAAAGCAGAAATTGAGCTGGGCATGGCAGCTCACCCCTGTAATCCTAGCAGGATGGGAGGCAGAGGCAAGAGGATGCCTTAAGCTCAGGAGTTCAAGACCAGCCTGAGTAAGAGCAAGACCCTGTCTCTACTAAACATAGAAAAAGTAGCCAGGGGATGCCTGTAGTCCCAGCTACTTGGGAGACTGAGGCAAGAAGATTGCTTGAGCCCAGGAGTTTGGGGTTGCTATGAGCTGTGTCACAGGGCACTGTAACCTGGGGCAAAAGAGTGAGCCTCTGTCTCAATAACAATAATAATAACAATAGCTAAGATTTATTGAAACTTAAAGCATGTTGGTCATAGTGGCTCGCACCTGTAATCCTAGCACTCTGGGAGGCTGAGACAGGTGGAGTTCAAGTTCACCTGAGCTTAGGAGTTCAAGACCAGCCTGAGCCAAAGTGAGACCCCATCTCTAAAAATAGCCATGTGTTGTGGCCGGTGCTTGTAGTCCCAGCTACTTGGGAGGCTGAGGCAAGAGACTTGCTTGAGACCAAGAGTCTGACGTTGCTGTGAGCTGTGATACCATAGCACTCTACTGAGGGTGACAAAGTAAGACTCTGTCTCAAAAACAAACAAAAAAAAATGTAAGGGGCGGCACCTGTGGCTCAAAGAGTAGGGCATCAGCCCCATATACCGGAGGTGGCGGGTTCAAACCTGGCCCCGGCCAAAAAAAATGTAAGGCACAATGCTGGACATTTCATATGCATTTTATTTTTCTTTTTTTGAGACAGAGTCACACTCTGTCACCCTGGGTAGAGTGCCATGGCATCAGCCTAGCTCCCAGCAACCTCAAACTCCTGGGTTCAAGCAATCCTGCCTCAGGCTCCTGAGTAGCTGAGACTACAGCCACCCTCAACAAAGCCCTGATAATCATGTACACTTTCATTCTATCCCCCTCACACAATACTTTGAGACAAGTAGTGCTATCATTCCCATTTCACACATGAGGACATGAGGCGTCAGCAGTGAATGCAATAACACAGCTAGTAACTGATAGGTGAAGCTGAGACTACAACCCTGCCACCCAGAAACCAGACTCCCACCACTATGTTATACAGGTTAGGCCCTCTCATTTGGCAAAAATAAGTTGGGATATTTAGAAGAGGATCCCTCGCTTGGCGCCTGTGGCTCAAGTGGCTAAGGCACCAGCCACACACACCTAAGGTGACAGGTTCAAATCCAGCTTGGGCCTGCCAAACAAAAATGACAGCTGCAACCAAAAAATAGCCAGGTGTTGCGGCGGACACCTGTGGTCCTAGCTACTTGGGAAGCAGAGGCAGGAGACTCGCTTGAGCCCAGGAGTTGGAGGTTGCTGTGAGCTGTGATGCCATGGCACTCTAC